TGAAGCTGCAGCATTTTTACAAACCAGTTCTGGTTCATCGTTTCATTCAACGATCCACTTTCACTCTTCTTATTCTGCGTCGCCGCCATGTCCGTATGTAAACAAAGGCACTGCGCATGTGCGCTTTACACATATTCTATTGCGATATTTCATTTTCCTATCGTTGCCCAACATTACACCGTATTACCGTGACCTGTATGATATGGCCCAGCCCCAGTCCAGAGTATTTTTTGTGAGGTTGAAGCTCAGCCCGCTCTGGCTGCTTGGCGTGTCCTTTGTGATGACAGGACATGATTTTGTGTCACGTTCCTGATTCAGCGTGGAACCCAAACTGAAACACGCACTTTTTAAATGGATTTATATAGAAACATATTTATGCACAGCTATTGATAATGTCCACCATGCAGCAGCAAATGAGCATCATGCTAACGAGTGTTATGCTGCTGTGAGATTCATTGGAGAAGGTCTATACAACTTAGTTCTCAGTTTGCTGATGAACCTCCACACTGACGGGTGGAGAAACTGTTGCTGCCGCTCAGGAGGCTTCCGTTAGCTCGGCCAATCGGATGAAAGCGGGCATTTAGGGAAGGGGCTCTTAAAGAGACAGAAACAGCAGACTGGAGATGGAAGCTCTGCTGTGAGGTGAATGGGGATCGTTTTAACTGTGAGTTTAGCTGCAGGAGAGCAGGAAGTGAGGGGTGCCTGTGTAACATGTATGCTCAGATCAGTAAATACAATGTTTTTATTGAATAATTTCAGTATTTTAGAGAAAACATGTTGATTGTGTCTCTGCACACAGCTATGTGGATACAAGAACATTGAAAGCGCCTAACCCCCTTCCTGTCCTCCATCACAATCCCAAAGCGTGTTACTTTAAAGCTCCTCCCCTGCTGAGGTCACACTGACAGACACCGATGAACGCCTCAGGCGTCTGATGACAGCTTCAGCTCTCACCGCTGTCTGCCATCACATGAAAAAGCTCAGCGAGCCTTCTCGTTGTGTTTTTATAGCAGAATCTGTGATTTTGTTTAGTTTCTGTTGTTCATCAGTTAAAAATCATCTAGTTATTGAACTTAAAAAACGTCTTTCCCGTGATGTCTGGTCGCTGCCGCTCTCTCCCCGTGTGTTCGCTAGCTAAGCTTACAGAGGCTGCAAGGGCCTGCCTCCACCCAAGAGCTTTAACCGACTCTGGTGTATATGAAGCATAAGATGGATAAGAAAACCATGTTTGCATCTAAAGATTCAGTGGTGATCGTGTTACTGAGGTCAGTGTTTGCTGATTTACAAGAAGAAATAAAGGCCTGTTTAATCTGCAGCAGAGGAAAGAATAAAAATAACAGAGAAACAGTCAGCAAACTGGCAATACACATGCACACAGATGATGGTGCTTTTCTGATATTTTCATTGGTGCCTGCTGTGTTAAGTAACTGGTCAGTAACCAGTATTAAACTTAACGGTCTGAATTAGGATTGCCACGATTAGTCAGCTTGTCACGATTACATCGACTATCAGAATCGTCGACACCTCGTTTGAAGCTTTGTAAGATCCCAGAAGACGCAGGAATAAGCAGACGTCTGTTAGCCACCAGCTCGATAGCTAGCCGAGAGGTCGAGGCTCGGTAGAGCCGTCGAGAACGGTGAACTCCCCGCACATCGTTTTCAGACCCCCGCGGTCTTTCGCTACTCAGGTTAAACATGATATATAAGCAGTGTAGGGACTAACGAGTTATTAAGTAACGCGTTACAGTAACTACGTTATTATTGTGGTAACGAGCACGGCAACTAGTTATTATGCCAAAATCAGTAAAGCATTTATTGTTACTGGGATTTAGATTTAGGCTCGTTATTTGTGTTGCGTTCGACTGACCTCGGAAATTGGAACACGGACGTGGGAATGATGTCACACTCGACTAAATAGCGTTTTGGTTAGCGCCAGGGCGACACCCTCAAACATGGTTGTTTTGCTAACCCTCTACAAAAACAAATTACTACTAAACTCATATGCAGCTCATCTGCAGTCTGGAGTTACCTACATCTTCCTACACAGAACGCAGAATTTCCAAGTGCAATCGAAAGCACCACGACTGCAGTTTCCTTGTTAGACGTAAAAAGCCCACATGACACTGCGGCGTAGACTAGAATCATGGCGTCAGTCGACGACGGTCCAGTTGTTTGTTTTGTGATCCACTGCTTCTTCCTAGTGATACTACATACAATGATTCGATTTATAACACTGCTGCATCAACCCCAAAATGATGTGTTTGCATCTGTAGAGGGTTGAAACAATAGAAATAGATTAAAACAGACAGGAAAAAAAGTGACACATAAAACAAACATCGTTAATTTCTAATTTAGTTTCATTAATTTCGTCATTAACTTGCACTCACACTGCCATTAGGTGGCACAGTGCAGTGTGGCAGGATAGTGCTAACATGTAAGCAAGCTAGAAGACTGGCATCCTTGCTGGAAGCAACACATCAATAAGAGAATTCTACGGTGGCCCTGAGAGGCCAAACGGACTGCAACTTCAGAAAACGCTGCAAAAAGAAAAACGCTGCAAAAGCACACACAACACAACGGAAATGTTTCTGGGGAGACAATAACCGGACGGACCAGTTGCACGAACCAAAACATG